CACAGGAAACAAATCAAGGTTTGTAAAAGTCAACAGAATACAACTAAAAAAGAGATAGGTAATCTAATATCAACAGGAGAAGATTAGAATCTGGATGTGTTTCTTAAAGTAGACTACAACTAAAGTTAAAAGTTATTCTGGTATCTCCTTTTTTTTTTTTTTCTGTGAGCACATAGCCACAGTTAGCTCAATTTTTTTTTTTCTACTGATAATATTCATATTCTAGAATAGGAGTAATGGAGAATTTTAATAGAGATAGGTAATTAAGCCGTTTAAAATATATTTATGTTATCTATACGAAATTGTGTTGAAATCAAGACTATCTTTGCTTCAATAAAATCTTCCATATATACAATGGTACAAATAAATTGCTAGCTTGCAAAACTGAACTGCATTGAGTTATGGAAACTTTTGATAATATTTTTGTATTCTTCTTATTGTTTATATAATATTTAAAATAACTATTTTCCTATATATTTACCTCTATTCTTTTGTTCCGATAGTAACCAAACATTCCAAGCAAGGAAGTACTTGTTTCTCGAGCAATAATTGTGCAACAGACATAATTTTTTATAAATCTAATAAGGTATGAAACCACAGATTCAGATTCTGACAAAGAAGTCATGACTATAGTTACATTAAAATGTGACTCCTGTCACTATGGCAAACTACAAAAAGAAAAAATGTTGTAAATGGAAAATTTTTACTTCTCAATAAAACTGTCTCAGCAGCAAAAACGTTCTGGGACAAATCAGCACATGTGCTATCATTTCCAATTAAGTGAGAAACATCTGTTCTGCCACCTTTTGCAGATTGAACATAAACATATTGGTGTTTTCAGATGTTTGTTGCTCAGTTATATGGCTAGATTCTGGGAGAAACGTTCATGGATATTTCCAGGTAGTTAGAAACATACTATGTTTCAACTTGACTCTGTGTGCCTCCTGCATGGGAAAAGATTAAATCAGCTTTTATATCACTTATATTAACAATTTTTATGGCTTAGTTAGGAAAGTCCTGATTGGAGCTGACTAATGAAGCTGAGACAATGGTACAGGCACTTGGGCTTAAGAATAACCTGTTTCAAATGAAGGATACCAAGGACATTTTGATAAACAGTTAAGTCACTTGGTAAATTATTTAACCATAATGATATTTACAAGACTTAAAAATTAATAAGAAACAATGGGTTTTTTTCTGTTCTTTGGAACACAATGTACTTCATGCACTGTGAGTCAAACTAGAGTATCCAAATTCAACATTACTGAAGTATTTGTACTGTCAAAATCAGCTTAAAAATCAAATAGCATATAATGAATAAGGCAGAAATCTTGCCTAGTTTATTTTCAGAAATGAACACTTTGAGCAGACATTGAAGTGTGAAGATGAACAAAGTTATTCACTGAATTCCACCCAGCCCGAATCTGCCATGAGACTGGGAAAATAACAAAGTATTTAAATAACAATTCAACCTGTGTATTGCAAAGTACAATAGTTATAGAAACTGTTTCAGGAGGCTTTGGTTGAGATACATTATGCATGTGCATGAAATAGTAAATCTCAGTTCTTTATCCACACACTTCAGCAAAAAATCCCCGCCAAATCTCTATAAAGCAGATTTCAACAAAAGCAAAAGCATCATAATTCTCATCTTCCCACAGAGAATTTAGGTGGAAAGTTATTTGACTTTATCGTACTCACAAGTACCTCAATAGCAGAACTGTGAAAAAAAGCAAATATGTTCTAAGTCTCAATGCAATAATACTAACCAGTCTGTATTATGATCCTCATGGTTAAATTTCAGCTGCCGTATGAATTGATATTGATATATTCATTACAAAACTGTAGCATTTCTTTTGGACATCACGTCCCTTGATGAAAAGTCTTGTGCGTAGGACTTCTTACAGCTAATATGCTCTAAATACAGTTTTGTGCAAGGTGTCAGGGCACCACAGAGGCTGTGATGGTCACGGGGGGTCTCCATGGTCTGTCAGCAGCAGGCAGCTGGGTGGCAACAGGGCAGCATGGGGCAGGTCCCTGGGGATGGGTTTAGGGACAGGCAGAGGCTGAGATGTGGGCCTGACTCATGTGGGGACCCATGGCCAGGCAGGGCAGGGCTGTGAGGAACTGGAGACCAGCCTGGCTGGGGCATTGCTGGGTCAGGGGACACAATGGGGTCCTGGGCTGTGAGCAGGGGCAGGCAGGGCTAGTGATGCCCCAGGGCCACGGCTCATCTAATGATGTATTTTTTTCCAATTCAGTCAATAGTGGATATTTTAAATCAAATCAATATAAAACAAAACTGCATTACAGAAATCAAAGTCAATTCCATACTGGAATTTAAGAATATGTACTTGGCCTTTGTTACCTTTGACAGTTATCTTTCATCAGTGTACCTTTATACTTGGTCACGACTTCATAGATGAATTTAGGGACATGAAATTCAAAACTAGACTTTGAATAGATCATACTTTTATGATGCATCCAATGTCTTAAAAAAATTATACTATGTTCTTTTGCCCTTTTTTCCACACTTGGACTTTGATTTTTTGTTTCACTGCCTTCTTGGCTTTGATACCAGTACTTTTCTCACAGTAACTTTTCTCATTAGTAGCTGTGTGACCCTCTGCTGTGGGGTTCAGCTGTTCCTGGTTTGTACAGCCCCTCTGTCTGACCTTGGCTCTGGTTTGCTGAGAAAATTCTTGTTGAGGTGTGAGAAAGCAGACAAACTAAAATTAGGCAAGATATGGAAAGTGAAAACAGATGGAAGTGCAACTGTTGGAGCAGCAACAACTAATAGCTCCAGGACTCAAAAGTACTGACTAGAACTGTAAGACCTTTCTCTTCTGCCAGCTCCATGGAACTGGAAGACAGCCCAGCAACAGCAGCAGCAGCATGGCAGGTTGGCCTGTTTGGAGGAGCCTGGCCCTTCCCCAGGTGACAGCTTGTGTGGCCCAAGAGGGCTGAGCTGTTCTCAAAGGGGTTGCAAACACATAACCTGGGAGCTTACTACTTCTAGCCTGTTGACACATGTATTCTCTGACAAAGAAACCCACCTTCATACCCCTCAGTTGTATCTCACTAGCATCTCGTGCTGAAAGCTGCCCAACTGAAGTGATGAAAGAGAAGGTTTTACAGTATCTAAGAAAAGACACTGTTTCCATGGTACAGCTAGAGAAGCATTTTCCTGTCCTATGAGAAATTAGACTAAAAAGTAATTATTATCCAGAAATTTCTAACAATCAACTGTAAAAATATAGAGGGGAAATTTAGAAAGGATAAAATGAGAGCACTTCATGTTGTTATGCAGTCATCTCGAAATTCTAAGTTGGTGAATGAAAAAGTAAATATATTTTATTAATTTTCAAAGTAGTACTATCATTAGAATTTAAGCCCCCTTTTCTCTGCACCTGTGGAATATTAACTGAAGACAAAACTTTTACATCATGAGTTTTGTTGCTGATATGTGTTTTTAGTGAATAAACATTTTGCTGAAACACGTTTCTACCTATTTGGATTTGGTGTGAGTCTCCTATTAAATAAAGCAGACTAAGGCATGCTAGCCCTAGAACACTGAAGTTTTTAGAAACCATGTATTCATTTAGCAACAATATGGAAGAATCTGTATGGAAATTAATTTTCAGTTACTGGTACCCATATTCTCAATGTAAGCAGCTAATAAAAGTATATAAATCAGCATGGAGTGATACAAACCATTCTGATGAAATCCTGTTAAAAAATTCCTTCAGGTAGCTGGAAACATAAGATTCTCAGAGTATCTAAATTCCTGCAAATTAATGTTAGCACAGTTTCCCTTTTTTGAAACTAAGACTGCAAAACACAGGGACTGTGACTTCTCAGAAAGTCACTGGCATAGCAAGTTAATAAAGTCTACCCTTTAAATCCTACTCTAGACTTTACCTGGGACACCCAACTCTCACATTTTCCTTGATGTTCATGGATATTTCAAATTCATCCACGTTGTGTTATGAGGTTTAAAGATAAAACTATACTTATAAAGACAGACCTTATTACAAGTTATAAAAAAAAAAGTTAAACTGTACTTTATAAGCAATGATACCAGGGAAAATGTAACATCTGGGATAAAGAAATGACAGAATTACAAAAACGCTTTTTCATATAATGTGTCAACTTCTCCCACATTCCCTTTTTAAGTACTTAAACTCTTTAATACTTTTTTTGATATTGATATTGGTCTAATGTACAGAATAACTATAGATCGTATATAATACTGACTAATTTAACTAAAAGCCAAAGTAAATCTTCACATAGAGAGATTTTTTATTAGATGTTTGGTTTATATGTTCATATTCTTCAGAGCTAACGTTCTGAACAGCATAAATGTTCTCTCATGAGACTTCTCAATGTAAAGGATTAAAGCATGCTTTATAAATATTAGATCCCACAACAACCCTATGATAATATTTTTTGTGCCTTTGCAGATGAAGTAAATGCATATAATGTATGTCACACAGGAAGTAAATGACACATGATATGGAATTCAGACTGCTAGACGCTGTCAGATTAGAATCTTTAAAAAAATGTGCAGAAACCCAGTTCTTAGATAGAGGAGAAAAAGAGTGTGCCAAAACAAGCAAATAAATTTGAAATACTATAAGTAAAAATCCTGGGAGGGTCTTTTTTTTCTTGAAATTCAATCAAGATTGTATGATTGCCTGCCAGAACATAATGTTTTCAGGTCAATAAAAGCAGAATAATTTCTCACATGAATGGAAAAATCAGAAAAGGATAACAGGATAACAGCAACCTTCAAAAATATTTTTACCAGATATCTCATTTAGTCCCACGTTATGTTAGCTCTTCTAGTTTCTGCTGCTGCTAATAGTCACAGGATGCTGACATGTGTACCACTAGTTTCTGCCAATCCAAGCAAACTGTAGTAAGCTTGCTGTAATTTACAGTTCCAAGATGTTGACAGACCGGTTCACAAGCCAACAAAACATTACTTTCTTTTGCAGCTTCAAAGCCTGAAAGGAGGACACTGAGTTCTGTGAAAATCAGTGGGATGCTGGAAAGCTAAGACATAAGCTAAGCTGCTTGTTACAAAGATGTTGGCCATCATTCCAGAGAGGATATCACAGATCTAACCCCAACAAAACATCTGGCAACAGGAATGTTTTCTACACAGGCTGTGAAAAAGTAGGCTGAGAAAATTTTTGTTGGGGGCCTCAGCCTGGTGTCCAGCTGTGTGTCATTTTTGTGTACTACTAGTTATATAAACAGTGTGCCTGTAACAAACATGGATAGAGCCTTCCTAAACCTTTGTTCACGAAGCCTAGCCATGAGTTATATAAACCAGTAATATTTTATTCATGTATATGGACTATCTAATGCTATACCTTGTACAAGTGTTTTCTTGATAAGTAAGTCTTTTTGAAATTTTGGTATTTTGAGACAGCATTTAGAAAATTCTTCTGTAATTATACTTCTGTCAAATACATGAGGTTGAAATCCTAAAAATCTCTCTATTTGATATTGAAACTCTTATCTGGAAAATGCTGAATTTTTGCATGTGTAATCTTGTCTCAAATCCCAAAAAGGACAGATAATATGTTCATACTTTCAGATTACAGCAAGGGAAACCAAATCTTACTTTTTGAACCATGGAAAAACATTAGCCGTGATTCTAAGCCTCTAACCTCAGGACAACAGATGACAAAGCTAGGACATCACAGTGCAGCACTGACTGCCCAGTGACAGAAAATATCTGGCTCTAAAAGAAAATCCACAGTACTGTTATGTTCACTTGGATGTTTTAAATACAATGAATGATCTCTGTGGGTTCTACTGTATCCTTCTACTCAAACAGAATGATGCCACTTGCTGCAGCAGGGCTGCTCTCCAGCTCCCAAAGATCTGCTCAGCCCATCCATGGGCCCAGGGAGGTGCCCAGTGCCCGGGGCTGAGTCTGCCCCAGTGCCCCTAGCTGGGCCACTGGGACAGGCACTGGCTGACATGCCTTGCCCTGATAGACCCTGATGGAGACCCCCCCACTCCCTGACAGACCACGGGGCCACCAGCCCTCGCAGTGGCCCGAGGGTCTCTCTTGGTGTTTCATAGTCTCAGACGCTTGGGCTGGTGGCTCTCTTTCCCGTCTGCAACTACAGAAAGATGTCCTGCAGGTAACATGGTGAATGTGATGTGGTTTAAGCTCTGCATAGCATACTGCATGACTTTCTTTAAAAAGGGGACAACCCTTCTTAAGTGTAAAGTATACAGAGAGATACAATACAGAAAATCATAATAGTTACCAGCCCAAGAGGTTGGTTTTCATTAATACAGTGTCTGGTTTTTATCACAGCTATTACATTAGCACCCCACAATCTACTTGCATCCTGTTGGCTCTACAAATAGAGCTCTGCAGATGTTTGCTATTATCCACAATTTAGAAACTATTTCACCAAAGAAAAGAAAAACCCTGGGAATTAATCACCCTCTTTGTCAAACAGCCCTTGAAGAAGCAAAAATGTCAGAATCATTGCAAAGAAATAAAAACGTGCCTGAATGTCCATCTGAAACAATATAACGCTGTTCTTATAAAACAAAAATTAATTTATTTCTCTTTTTTTTTTCCACCATGCAAGCATATTACATCCCCTGCTGCAGTATGTCTATAAAACTCCTCCATTAGAAGAGGGAGAAAGAAAACACACAGATATTCGGTGGCATATGAACACATGCAGACCTACAGTAACAAATTAATCTGCTCAGATTCGAGAATAGTGGTGGTCATCATATGCATAGTGACACAGAAACTTGAATGAACTAAATGGGATTATGTTTGTGTGGTTAATGAGATCTATAGGTATTAAAATTACAGTGGGCAGTACTAAGAAGTTACTTTACTTATATCTAATCTGATATAGCACCTTAGCCGGAAATTGCAAAGTCATTTTCCATCTTAACTGTAGAAAATTTTAACCATGGAGTTGCCAAAAAAAGACTAAGGAAGTTACAGAGCAATTTCTCCTGCAGATGTTGAGTAGTGTCTCATTGACAATGTTTTCTGCATATGTGAAATACAGCCTAGTGAGGGGAAAAATCAGATTTTTCACAGTATCGGGATAATAACATATAGGAAAATATTTAAATAAATTTGACTTTTTTTTCTTTTATTTTATTTACAGTTGTTTCCTTAAAAATATTTCAGTCTATTTGCCCTTTACACAACTGGAAAATTGTATCTATGCAATTTCTAGTCTACATTCTGAACACACAGTTAGTTGTGAATAGTTACTGACTACTTTATCTGGTAAGATCAAATAAAATTAAAATCCAAGTTCTAATACAAATGCTTGCTTATTAAATTTTATGTCAACAGCTCTGGTATTTATGTAGATTTGCTTACTGAAGAATAATTATGAAAATTAAATTGAGCACATAAAATAATTCAGAATGGTTAAAAGTATATTTTAAGAAAATTTATTAAAACTGAAAACTATTAATACTTCATTATTTATCCTATAGTGAATGCAATATTTAAGAATTGCATAATCAGAATCTACTAGCTACTATCAACTAAAGCTGTTTGATTGATTTCACAGACATAAGTAATTTCTTCAAATGAAAATTATGTAAAATAACATCATCATTATTATTATTATTATTAGCTGGACTCTGTACCAGCATAATGTCCATGTTACAGAGTAGGTGCAATAAGAATTAAGGTGTATCAAGCAAAATGCAGTATTTCAGACAACAATATGTAGTTTTTATACTTCAAATATGTTTGTTGTTAATTTTGAGATAAAATATAAGTAAGGTCTAAACATATGCGGTGACTATTTTCAAGGCAGTGTGGTTATCACAGGAGAAGAAACCTTTGGCATTATTTAAAGAATTTTCTCTTTCCTATAAGACACTTCTGGTTCCTACTAACAATGCAGTGTATTTCCCAAGCATTTAGTCAAATGGCTACTTCTTACAATTAGTGATTTTGCTAGTTTTGGCTTTTGACATGTTTTTTTTCAAGACCCTGGTTGTCTCTTAAAGCTGCAGTGCATAAACACCTCATATTCTTTTTATGTGCCTCAGTTACCCAGCCTTTAAAACAGGAAAATGCTTTAAGATTTTCTGAGAATTTTGCTTTATAGAATCTTCATATTGTTACTTATATGGGAACAAGGGGGGAGAGAAGCAAGAAACTTGAAAAGCTGAAATATTTCCCTTCATCTAAAGAACTGGGTAAACCTGTAAACTTTATTTTATCATCAGACAGCAGATATATCTTGATTAATGAAAACGTTATATGGAAGTCTTAAAAATAAAAAAAGACAGCCTCCAGCATGTCCAGACCATCCGTGTGGAGAGAACCCCTCTTCTGTAAAGGCTGTATCTCAACTATATTTGCTTGTTACTGCACCACCATGTGTCAGCTGACTAGAACAGGATTTATCCCAGAAGTCCCGTTGATGGCATTAGTCACAGTAATCCTCTCCATCAACCTCATTTGTCCCTGGACCATGACTGGAATCTTTATGCAATGTGCAGCACACCAAATCTGGTCTATTTGCTTCTTGACCTCATGGCCATTACAGATCTGCTCTGGTGTGATGGGTGATGGGCACTGTCGGACACAGGGCACTGCCCAGGGAGGCACCAGCAGTAGTTGGCACAGAAGAGTACACAGAAAAGGGGGGACAGATGCTCTGCTGAGAAGTGCCTTCCTATGCTCAGCAGCGCTGGTGACGTCCCACAGGGCATAGTCCCCAGCCTCTGCTGGAGGAACTGCTCTGGCACAGCAGAGGCCTTGAACCAGTGTGAGCCCCAGAGGAGCTGTAGCTCAGCAGGGATGTGGCTGCAGGGATGTCTGGGGCCTCTGGCTGATGTTGGAGCAAGGAGAGCTGGGCTCCTTGCCAGCCTGCTCTTGTGACCAAGCAAAGTGGTTGCGGGAGGAGGTCACCAGACTGTGTAACATCAGAGATGATGAGAAATAGTTTGGTGTAAGGGCATGTGGAAGAGGAGAGTACCTGATTCACTAAAATCATCATCGGATCAAGAACCTTTTCAATGCATTGAGTATTCTTTACTAAATAATGACTAAAGGAGAAAACCATAAACAATAGCCCACAGAGACACAAACTTGATCACAAAAAGGGTCAACAGAGACAATGCTAAGGACCAGTGTGGGACAGAGATCCTTTTCTGTCTTGGTACACTGGGGTGGTCCTCAGTGGCTGAAAATGGTGGAGGTGATGGTCATTTATAACATCCCACAACAACAGGATCATCTCCAAGACCCTGCAGCTTCAAGAACCTTCAACAGTAATGAAAAGAGTGCAGGTAGATTCTGTGCTTATCAGGTGTAAGAAAATCAAGCCTCCCATGAAGATGGAGGCTGGAAGCTGGTTACTTCTGGCACTCAGAGGAAGGTTCCTGCTCCACTTTCAGATTTGCAACTTTCTGACATGCAGTTGTCATCACCTACATGACACCACCCAACCAGACAGTCATCAGTATGATGAGGAAAAGCTATGTAACATTGTTCATGAGCAGGGAACCATTGCTTTAGTAACAATTTAGTTTTGTCAAATACAGACAATAATTGAAAAGTCTGAAAGGGGAAAGATAACTATTTAATACTGCTAAGAGGCAAGGAAACTTTTTTTTCTTTTTAACTGATAAAATCTATTACGAAAGCATTTTCTAATTCTATTTTACATCTGGTGTGGATTCAGACTGTATGAGGCATGTAAGTCGTTCACTCCCTACCGTGGGGGGACATTCCCTTATTAAGTGAGTGACAGTAATGGAAGCTTGCTCTCCAATCCTGGATTCAGCACAGTTCCATCAAGTTAAAGAAGAACTTCTTGCCAAACAAATTGATGTAAATTCCAAAAGCATTATTTCTTTGTCTGTGACCATCTTTCTATTAAAGAAAAACAACACTTGCAAATACAGGCATTCAGTTTTCTGGGCCAGGTCTAAAAATTGTCAAGATGTACAAGTAATCCTTGTTTAAATTACTCTGAATCAGGTCTTCAAGATTTCACTGATTACTTCATCCATGCGTAATTTCAACTTTTTGCCTATCTCCTGACTCAAGTTACAAGGTTTTTATTTGCCAGGTAACATCTGCTGCACACCAAGAATACCTCTAAATTTATCTGACCACAATATTACTAATGTGCTTTGACTTAAATTACACCAGCAGCTATGTTAACTAACACTAATTTAAAGCATATTTTCTTTTGTTTTCTTCTTCT